TATGTCAAACTGATTTCCCTGACTACAATCTTTAGTTACATGGTGAAACGTTATGCTGCTTGTACTAATTAGACTTATCATATAAGCCACACAGGTTTTAATAGGATGTATTCATTATCTTTACTTGTGTTGCGGTCTTTTCAGCAGCGCCATCTCTATAACGGCGATACAGTCACTACCCATTATTTACATTTCACCGTGACATGGACAAAAATGTAACGTCAGCTTACCTCATGGCACAAATCCAGACTCTCCTTTGGAAAACATTGGCCGGGAAACGATAGAACAAGCACGTTTCATGTGGCTGCAACCCGGAGCAATGCAACAAACCATTGCGTATAGCGCTAGCTTTAGCTAACGTTAGCCAACGAAACGAACTGCCGAGTAAAATTGGAAAACACTGGTAATTAATTATTCTATAATTTGTAAAACTACGGTGTTAAAAACGACAANCTCCCGCTCCCTCTGCTAGTAGCTTTGCGCTTTCGTTTATGGCCCGTCCACACTACAGCTTCGACAATGGGCAGACGCGTTGGAAACCGTTTTTGAAGCTGTCGAAGCTGTAGTGTGGACGGGCCATAAACGAAAGCGCAAAGCTACTAGCAGAGGGAGCGGGAGCACTGCCTTCACCTAACTGAGTAAACGAAGCACAGAGCTACCAAATAAGGAAGCTTAACAGTCAAGTAGGGACGAAATAGAACTACTGTTCCTCACTCGATCTTTAGGTATGGTGAAAATGGAAGTAAAGCAGGGTGTCCGGTCTTAAAAAGTATTAAAAGTTGATAAATTTAGCGAAAATTAAGGCTATTAAAAATTATTAAACGGCATTTTCCAAGGTATAAAGAAGGACCACAGCAACGACAACATGAAACACCCTTTAATTTACTGAAACGACATGTCGGGAAATCCCCTCAAGGCGGCCCCATGTATAGTGCGCCGTAAAATGCTGCTTCTTATTTTAAGTTTCGTTGCCTTGCTCCGCTCTGTGGGGGGGGGTCCCAAGGTGGGTAGACCGGCA